GTAAAAAGTAAATACTAAACCGAATAGTATGGTTTCTAAGGACAGTCTAGTCCAAGGAAGGAAAACAGGTAAGCCAGGAGGTCAGAGAAGGCCCTAGTGAGGAGGCTCAATTTGAGACTCAAGAATTGAGAGGGCAGAGGGATATTACTGAATTAGAATCCTACTAAATCCCAACAAGGGCCAAACATTTACAATACAAAAGCTTTTAATTAAACTATTCTATAAATTAGCCAAAGCTATAATTAGAGTAACATAGAACAGGAATTAATTTCATTTCTTTTTAAGATGCTTTAAACAAATGTATTACTCCTTCCTCTGTACTCACTTGCAACAACTTGATTATGAATGAAAACAATATAGTATTGTACTAAAGCAATAAAGTACAGGAGACACCATTTGAAAAATAACATAGATGACAAATCGATCCATGCTAAGTAGCTTCTCACAGGGTTAAAGGAGTGCATTGTGTTTTTCTCAGAACCATCTCTAAAATGTTAATCCTGTGGTAAAGAGGCAGAACCAGCATGAGACTTGAGAAACCCAGAAGCTATTCTTCCAGACAATTTATTGTCATTAATAATGTGACAGAACAGTATTTCCACTTTCTGTTTTCAGTATTCTTAGGTCATGTTTCATTTTTTAGCTAACATTGGATAGCAACAAATTAAAGATTATTCCCTTTTCTTCTCTCACCTCAAATATCTGTCTCTCTCTCTCTGTCTGTCTGTCTCTCTGTTTCTCTCTCTCTCTCTCTCTCTCTCTCTCTCTCTCTCTCTCTCTCTCTCTCTCGTGTGCACGCGCACGTGTGTGTGTGTGTGTGTGTGTGTGTGTGTGTGTGTGTGTGTGTGTGTTTTGAATCTACACGCATTTTCAAATGAAGGAAAGCATTTCCTCTGCTAAGCTAAACTTGAAGGCTTTCCACCGTTGAAAAGGGAGGATGTGGTCGCCTAGTAAAGCACTTGTTTGTCCATACATGTTTTTCACCAGATTCTCACTGGTCCATGGATTGTGTTTGGCTAGCAGACAGATTTTACTTGGCCAATGTTTAATTCACAGGGTTAGGGATGGGACTAATATAAAAGCCATTGTTACAAGGGAAAGCAAATTGAGAGCTTGCCCCGGATGGCCTGGCTGCCTTCACATTCCCAGTTCACTCTCCTAAGCAGCAGGATGGCTGCCCTATTACAGGGGGCAGGTCTTCTCACACTGTTCCTCTGTCATTCAGCTATGTCACCTCCTTGGCACTTACAAGGTTTCATGTTAATAATTCCAGACCACTGGGCTTCTCACCATGTGTTCCTAACCACTCTGCTTTCCAGTCTTCTATTCATCTGGCAGCTCCTGCCAAGGGAGGCAGCTACCAGCTCCATCACTTTTAGTTCGAACATGGGACTTCCTGATGTTTCAAATCACTAGGACTCCAGAATCTGATCCCTCCCATCACAGTCTGCTCTAATTTCACTTGAACTGGGCTAGAAAAAGAGACCCTCTGACGAGGAAATTAAGAGATGAAATAATTCAAAATGTTTTTACAGCTCTTTGAGAATTCTAACAGTTAATGGTGATCTCACAGAGCCTACACAAGCCCTGAACTTGATGGAGTTCAATTCTGATCCATCACAGACCCATGCATCTAAATGGTGTTTCTGGTAAATGTTCCACCAGCCAATTGTACCAAGCTTCATTCAGTATAGACAGAAACCAACAGTTTTGCACAAAAACATAAAACAGAAGACCAGATCCCAAATTAATCTAAATGTGACAGTATTTAAGTGAATAGAGTCAATCTAAAGGACTTTCTAAGTATTGTCTTAAGACTGAAATGCCTGCAAAAACAGCCAGCTCATTCTAACATTTCTTAAATATATGTAAAGCCCTAAAGTAAGGCTTTTTTAAAATGAGCCCTCTGGATTAACACACAACAGGGAATCCTGGAAATGCTGTGTTTATTCTCAGAAGTTGTGAATTTGTGCAAACACTTAGCCATCCTGGGAGCTATGCATTCTCACAGATAAGTTCAAGTTCAGGAAACTTACTGTACATTGTGGTGACTACAGTGAATGATAATGCATTATATAACTGAAAAGTCTATAAAAGACTGAATTTTAAAAGATGTATTTAAAGTAATTCATGTTAATTAGATTGATTTAGACATTCTATACTGTTTGCATGTATCATGACATCACGTTACATACTGCAAATATGTACAATTAAAAATCAATATTAATTTTAAGGAAAGCTATTTCTGTTAGGATGCTTTCAGTATAGTATCCTATGTTAACTAAATCTACCTACAAGTAGATGTATGTAATTTACTGATACTATTTCATTAAATTGACTTCATTTTAACTAATTACAGATATAACTATGATTTTCTTTTTTCAGTTTTATTTTCACTTAAAATATAATTACATCACTTTTTCTCTTCACTTTCTTCCCTTCATCCCTTCCCATTTTCTCTTCTCAAAGTCCTCCCATTTTCCTCCTCACTCTCAATTTGATAGTCCCCTTTCCTTTGATTATTGTTGCACTACACACACACACACACACACACACACACACACACACACACACACACACAAACGGGCACGCGTGCAAACATACAATAAGTACAGCCTACAGAGTCTGTTTTTGTTGTATGTGTACATATGCTTTCAGGGATGACTACTTTGTACTAGATAACCAGTTAGTAATGGTGGGAATCCCTGGAAGAGGCTAGTGACCCCTTTCTCAGCAGTCATCAGTTACCTGTGGTTCTTTGTCTAGGCATTGGAACCAGTGAGACTTTTTTCCCTCTCTGCATCTATTGATAGTGTCATTATGCAGGTCTTGTTAATGCAGCCACTTCTAGGAGACACAACCCTTTTCAAAGATGTTCCCTGAGATTTAAGTGCAGGAGTTATGTTGTACATGTAACTGTTGAGGCTGGGCTCCACGCCTCCCCTTGATCTCTACATTTTGTCCAGTTGTGGCTTTCCGTATTGGCCTCCATTTGCTATAAAGAGAAGCTTCTTTGATGGGAGATGGGAGCCACACTTATTTGTGAGTATAAGGATAAAATTTAGAGTGTGTAACTACAATTATCTCTCCTCTTTTAAGATTTCACTACCTCTTGAACTACCTGAGCTAGATGAAGTAGCTTGATGTAGTGAAAGTGCTCTGAACTTGGTGTTAACAGACCTTGGTCCTGTCTGTGTTGCTGGCCACTGTGTAACTATGGGTAAACGACTCCCCCTGGAGACCCGCACTTGCCATATCTACCAAATAAGTGGAAAAGGACCATACATGGGCTTCGCTTCATTTCTTTTTATTTAGAGAAAACGGAGTTTCAAGCACTAAAGTTTCTATAGAAAGAAGCATTAATGTTCCCAGTTCTGTTCTTTGAAAAGATAAAGTTAATTTAGTGAGGTTAACAGCATGGGCTGCGAAGCCTGACTGCAGAGTTTGAGTCACATCTTGCCAGCTGGTGACCTTAGAAGAGTGGCTGAATGTCACTGCTCCTCGGTGTTAGTCTACAAATTGAGGATGATGCTAATATCTACTCTAGGAAGGTTAGGTGAGGGCTATCTACACACACTGGGGCTGAGACTGGACAGTGACAAACTCCAGATCTCAACAAAAACTACCTTTTATTTTATTGGCTTATCAGGTACAAATGAAGCCAGATGAAATAGGCATCAATGATCAGTTTGCTTACTCTTTTTCTTTCTTCTTGAGACAAGGTCTCAGTATGTAGCCCTGGCTAGCCTGGAACTCAATATGTAGACTAGGCTGGCTTTGGACTCACATAGACATGCCTGTTTCTGCACCGTCCCAGTACCTGAGATTAAAGATGTGTACTACCACATCCAGCAGCAGATCAGTTTCCTAAAGAACTTTGTTACTTCAAATGACCCCAGTGACCTAAAAGAAGTAAACACAACCAAATGTGGAAAAATTTACAAAATCTCAAGGGTTGGGTCAGACCTTCTAACCTACTGTTAGATGCCTCTATTTTTCTTCTTTGTAAAATTCTATAGTTACTTTTACATTTGCCACTTGTATATGGCTTGCTAATAAAATTGAGAATAATTCATAAGTGTCAAAGTCCTACACATTCAATAGTTAGTTTTATTGATAGAGATTATCTATGTACGTACATACAGAACCTTATTCTTACAGTTAAAAAAAATTATTTGGTATATGTCTAAGTTAAGGTTTCTATTTCTGTAATAAAACACCATGACCAAAAAGCAAGTTAGGAAGAAAAGGGTTTATTAGGCTTATGCTTCATATCACTGTTCATCACTGAAGGAAGTCAGAACAGGAACTCAGACAGGGCAGGAACCTAGAGGCAGGAGCTGATGCAGAGGCCATGGATGGGTGCTGGTTACTGGATTGCTCCTCATGGCTTGCTCAGCCTGCTTTCTTACAGAACTCAGGACCACCTGACCAGGCATGGCTCCACCCATAATGGGCTAGACCCTCATTCACAAGTCACAAATTAAGAAAATGCCATATAGGCTTGCCTACAGCTGTTTGTTTGTTTGTTTGTTTGTTTGTTTCAAGACAGGGTTTCTCTGTGTAGCTTTGCGCCTTTTCCTGGAACTTGCTTTGGAGACCAGGCTGACCTCGAACTCACAGAAATCCACCTGCCTCTGCCTCCCGAGTGCTGGGATTAAAGGCGTGCGCCACCACCGCCTGGCTACAGCTGGTTTTTATGGAGGTATTTTATCAACTGAGGCTCCTTCCTCCCTGAAGACTCTAGCGTGTGTCAAGTTAACATAAAACTAGACAAGACTAGTTTACTCTCATTATAAGAAAATGATGACACTATCACAGATATATACACTATAGGTTTAATATTGAAAAGGAAGTAGGATCATAGTTTGTTTGTAAGCTAAACTCTGTATAAACTTAAACTCTGAGTGATGGCTCAGTGGTTAAGAGCTCTGCTTGCTGCTCAGTCATGAGCACCAGAGTTCAGATCCCAGCATCCATATTGCATAACTCATACCCACCTGTAAATTCAGCTCCAGTGGTTCTGACACCCTTGTCTGGCATACTCGGGCACCTGTACACACATGTGCACAAACACATAGACGCATATATAAGCATTTCAGACAAAAAGTTGTTAAAGTCATTTCTCATTTTCAGAGAACTTATCTGAAGTAGATTCATAGTCACACTTTGGGATTCTTTATCTCACAGGAGAATTAGGCAGTGCATGTGAGTCAGCACAGGAAATACTTTCATCATCCCATGGACGACAATAACATGACAGTAACCCATAACATAAACGTTACTTGGGGACAGCTTGTCAAACAAAATGAGTAGAGCCAACCTGTCACATTCTAATCACTTCCTAACTTCTGGAACTTTTCTTTTTCCTACAACTACTCGACACAATTTTGTTGAGCTGCATCTTGAAATTATATTAGACAGACAGGGGTCAGCATTTTGGTGAGTGCTTTAAAAAATAATTTAGCTAAAGTTATGGGGCTGAAGGCCTTCTTGGTATTTATCTCTAAATAAGGTGACCAGAAAGCTAGAGTGAAGAGATTCCTCCATTTACATCAGAACTCTGAGCTGAAGCTGCTGTACAGCCAGGTACTAAACATTGTTACTGCAGAATAGCTCTATGGTAATCTGAAAGAAATTCTCGACTTGAGTCTTTGGAGAATTGTGCCTCCAACCTCCCCAAATAGGATTTACTTCACGTAAAGTAAAGCATGAGAAAATGAGGAAGAAAGGAAAATTGAAGTCACTAAAACATCAAACCCCAGGCTCAGAAGTACATATTCCTTTCATTATGTTTTCAATTTGCGGCTAAGAAAACCTGCTCACATGGAGAGCAGGGCAAACTGCTTTCATGTTTGGATACCGTGAGCTTCTGCCTCCCCTTTGCACTGCAGTTTCTTTACTGTGCACAGTTTTCATCTGCCTCCCCCTCCCCAAAACAATTTAAAAAGCAATGCGTATCTAGCTTCACTTTACTTCCTTAGATTACAGCAGACTTGAGCTAGGAATCTCATGCGGCTAAAATTCTCAGCTGGACATGAGGCCAGCAGGCCACACCCTTCTGGGTTACTTGGGTCTACACTGTCTCGCTCACGACTCGATTTGGTAGTTGTAGAGTATTTGCTGACTTCTCAACCTGTCCGTGGAAAAGGATGGATTACTCTTTTCCTCCGATTCCTTTACAGGTCTCAGAGGTGCGAAGTTCATCTGCTTTCAAGACCGCCAGTGGCACAGTGAATGCTTCAACTGTGGGAAGTGCTCCGTCTCCCTGGTGGGTGAAGGATTCTTAACTCAGAACACGGAAATCTTCTGCCGCAAGTGTGGCTCCGGGACAGACATTGACATGTAGAAAGAGACAGCCTTTTCCCACCTGAAACCCACTTTGCCTTTGCTCTCACTAAATTGGGAACTCAGTGGCAATAATATTTTTTATTTGTATTTTAGAAAGCAGTTCAGGGGTGAGGGTACGTAGCTGGAAAAGTTGAGTATACTTTAAAACTGAACTCTAATAAGAAACACACAAAACCACAGTCTAATAGAAATGAATTACTAAGCCTCAATGCTCTATCTCCTTGCAAAATACTGCACTCTGCTGTTGGAAACATGGGATAATACTTCTTTATTATTGAGTATATGGCCTGTATTTAGTAATTGTGAATGTTAGTACTGAAGGGCGTTTTTCAAAACTGCAGAAGGAAAACAAGATCCAACAGAGAAGTATACAAGAGACAAATGTTTGCATTTTAAGCTAGCTGGTTATATACATAACATGACAGAAGGAATATGAATAGTCGAAGAACAAGATTTATGAAAAAATCAATTAGTAATCATCTCACTTAACAACCTTATCATTTTAGAAGCATTCTTTGTTCACAAGTACTGAATAAGAGTTGAAAAACAAAGCTGTGGATTTTCTTCATACACAGGGCTTCCATCATCAGCTGTCTCCATAGTCAATGGAATTGGACAGCTATGGTACCCTTATACTTAAAGTATAAAGGGCATCATCCCTGCCTGGGGAGAACCAAGCATGAATTTTGATTAGATTTAGATTACAGATTCAAATACATTTTAGATTAATTGTATTTCCAAAGCCCACAATGGTTTCTCTAAATGCTTACAGATTTCATCTATTCTTTTAAGTGAATCTAACCAGAATATTTGTTGTCCCCAAAGGCAAGCCTTTAAAGAAAATAAATCATTAAATTTTCACCCATGGTAATAAATGTTATGAAAGTAGTTCAGTGTTAGAACATGAGTTTCATCCAGATAGCTAAGGCATAATAGAATGCATAATTATTTCTAAGCCTCACACATTTTGCCTTTGAAAATTACATAGATAACTAATGCTCAAACATAAAATGCACTTTAAAGAAATCTAGTAAAAGTAACAACTTAAGAATAATACTTCACTCTTGATAATTCATGATCATAAGACAAATAAAATACCACAAAATGGGACTCAGAGAAGCCCTCCTCAGTTCTATTACTGAACCATTCCCTGTCCTGAAGCCTGCCAAGCCCAGGGCTCCAGTCTGCTATGTGACCAGGACTTCCACACCCTAAGTAGCCAGTCCAGAAATCAACATGTATTCTGTCACAGAGGAAGCTTTAGTGGGAATTCGGCCACCGTACAAACAACCTTCGCATTCAGCACCAATTGATTGTGGCCCTCCCTAGTGTAGGACGAAGAGAAAGCAGTCTGTGATCTCAGTGCTTGGTCATGAGGTCATGGTTACAGAGGTTCAGCTGTAGAGTGAAAGATCAGGAGAACTCTCCTGGATATAGTAATATGCTGACTTTCAGACTAGTGCAGATGCTTGAAATGTGAAGATTTTGAACTAAATAGAATAAAAGGCTGCTCCAGATGACAGTGGTTAAAAATGTATCATAGGAGATTCAATTACAATTGCTATTGAAACAATTTAAGTAGTGTAAAATGCAAGAGATGTTCAGAGATACTAATAATTTTGAAAAATTAATAGGTTAGGCTACATACACATTTTGAAAATCGAAATTTTGCTTTTGAATTAACAATGATCAAGATATTTTCTCATACTAGCATTGTGGTGTGCAGGCCAATTAGTACTTGCTTGCACTAAATGAAATGGCACAGATAAAACTAAACATGCTGGTTATTCTGTGACCTAAAAAATAATTCATTTACAACTGTAAAAATCTAAATTCTTCATAATTTATATGGATATACGAGATATGTCATTGTCTCTGTTAACCAATTACAGATAAACATGTAGCACATGATATTTCCTGGTTAAACAGTTAAAAAGATCAGGTGTTTGTTATGGTATGTGGGAATGAATAGGGTAAGGATTGCATTTTTTTAAATGCTGCTAGAGATCAAACCCAGGACCCTACACATGCTGTGCAAGGACTCTACCACTGGGATATATTCTTAGCCCTTTGAATTTAATCTTAACAATTAAATTCATGGAATCACTTGCTAGATAAACATTTTATTACCCTTTCTTAAGTACAGTTTATAAATACATAGAAACTGTTGTCTATTTTTGTATTGCTCAGTCACCAAATATACAATTAATGTTTGCTGCCCAGAATTTAAGGTCATGCTTCTGGGACTTTGATGTGGGAGGAGGGCAGATCTGTATTCAAAAATGTGGAGGTCTCACTGCAAAGACCCTTCCCTGGTGTTTAAGGAGAGTGCCACTGTAGATACAGCATTCATATGCAAAACAACTAGGAAAGACTTCTTCCCAATGACACACAAAGACAACTGTGGAAAACATGGATGATTTATCTGATTTATAGATGGAAAAGTTCTCTTAACTGGCTGATTAAAAAATGGAATGGGCTGCCTCAGTAGGCAGTGGGCATTCATGATCCAGGGTGACATCTGCATGGGCAGGGAAGTAGTTAGAAGCAAGTCTTTCACCAGATGGCTTGGAAGCTGCAGAGATGCTGTGCTATCGAGCAAGGAGAAATGGTATTGCTACAAGCAAAAGTCAAAGGAAGGGGAAACATTAACTGTCAGGACAAAAGGTACAGGTGTATATAAAAGGCCATGGAAGTTGCCAGTGTTCTTAGCTAGGACAAACAGAAAAAGGCTATGACAGTGTTCAAGGACAGTTATAGCAACATGTATACTGTGTGGAGTAGGACCAGAGTGGACCGGAGTGATTGGTCCCAATGATTGGTGATTTCCAATGCTCCTCATGTGCATGTGTGGTTGGTGGCTGCAGACATGAGAGAACAAGCAGAAGTTCAACCCTGGAGCTGTGTTTGCTGACGTGGCTGAGTGTACACATCAACAAATCAAGATGCTTGACACAGTTATATTTGGAGTTGAAGTTGATAAAACGGGATTTTTTTTCCCATAAAAAAAATGGGTAGGATGCCCAAGGGCTCAAGTTTTAATTAACAAAGCCACTAAAAACTTTGACTGAAATAAATTAGCACCAGTGGATAACTGAGATATGATCCTATCACATGGTTCACAACTCAGTCGTTATGGTTTTAGGAACACCGCATTGTACATTGCAGTAAAAAGGTCAGTCATGATGAAAAATGTGTGCCTCTGAGCATAAGTGACCTTCATTAAAAACCACTGCAGAATACCACCATGAAAAATCAGCCTTCTCACAGTTTTGATGTGGGTAATATCACTTTTTAATGTAAGTGTACAAGTATTTTTTAAAGTACTTGACATGCTGACATAGTTCATGTGTTAAATTTAAAAATGAATTTTACAATATGAGATGATTATATTTAACTGAGCATATAAATTATTCTTTGATGCTTTAATGGATATTTCATACCTGTAGCTGCCACAATACAGCTTTTTGTTTTACAAATGGTGGTTTTAGAAGTTTCTTATATTGAACAAATGTACACTACACATAGTAGATATTCTTGAAATGGATTTTGGATTTTTTTTTTACATTAGCTCTGCTGTGAACACAGCAGATACAGAATAACTTATTTAGAATTTCTACTTTTATTTCATGCTTCTTGTCTTATCATTTTTACAATATACAAATGACTATATTTGGTTATCATCTCTAGGCACAAATAGAAAAATACCTTAAGTACTGATCCAGATGGAATGTCTCTACTGCTAACTAAACTGTGCTGCATGACTCTTTTTTACAGTGTTGTATTTAGAAGACTACTAAATTAAATTTTTTTATTTCTAATTACTTCCTCAGAAGCCAGATTTTCCTGCCATAGCTCAGACTCTTTTGCTAGTGTTTTTCTAAGTCAGAGGGATTGTTAAAACTGTTGATAGTTTTAAGCACTTACCTATTTTATTGAAATCAAAGCTTTTGTAATACAAAACTTTTCCAAATCTCCACTGTTTTACAAACTATAATTACTTTAGAAAATAAATTTGTTTAATATTTGAACCAATAAATATTTGGAAAGATAACTCTAAATAGGTACTCTTAGTTTTTCTTTAAATTAATGATTTTGAAAAGTCATGTTGATTGTGACCCCTGAGGGACAGGGAGGTAAGTGGGATTGGAAAGTATTATGTGAAATCCACAAAGAACCAATAAAAATAAAAAGAGAAAAGGAAAGAAGGAAGGAAGAAAGAAGAAAAGAAAGGAAAGAAAAAGTGTTACTTATATGGATATATGAAAGTTAAAACTTAAGCCTTGTGTCTCCAAGTATTGTTTCTTCAACTAGAGTCATTCTATCATTGGATATTACGGGAGCTAGCAACATTGCCTTCATCCTGAACTTTCCCCCCAAGGAACATTGAACCTTTAGACTTCACTAAAGTACCAGGAATGTGTCATATAACATCACCATTAAGAAATGCCTGGGGCCTGAAGAGATGGCTCAGCCATTAGAAGCACATTCTAGGACCAGAATTGGATGCCTCACACCAAAGTCCAGTTGCTCATCAGCACCTGTAACTCCAACTCCAGGGGGATCCAGTGCCTCTAAGTTCAGCAAGCACCTGCACTCCCACGAGCATACACACACACACACACACACACACACACACACACACACACACACACACACACACACTTAAAAATAAATCAGTATGGCGATTTCTCAGAAAATGGGGAATAGTCTTCCTCAAGACCCAGTTATACCACTCTTGGGCATATACCCAAGGAATGCTCAATCTTACCACAAGAACACATGCTCAACTATGTTCATGTCAGCATTATTCATAATAGCAAGAACCTGGAAACAACCTAAATGTCCCTCAACTGAAGAATGGATGAAGAAAATATGGCACAATGGAGTACTACTCAGCAGTAAAAAAAAAAAAATGATATCATGAAATGTGCAGGCAAATGGATTGATCTAGAAAATATCATCTTGAGTGAGGTAACCCAGACTCAGAAGGACAAACATAGTATGTACTCACTCATAAGTGGATTCTAAATGGGAGGGAAGGGATGGCCAGACTGCAACCCACACCTCCAGAGAGGCTATCTAACAGGGAAAGACCCTAGGAGGGACACATAGATGACCTTGTAAAGCAGAAGTGGATGAGATCTACATGAGTGGACTGGGGGGTGGTGGTGGCAGAGGGTGAGAAGTTGGGGATGAGAACATAGGGAAATGGGAGGGTCAAGCTGGAACAGGGACAGAGTGGGAGGGTAAGGAGGAAGATACCATGATAGATGAGGACATCATGGGAATAGAAAGAGGCAGGGTGCTGGGGAGGCTCTCAGGAATCCACAGGTTGACCCCACCTTGATCTGCTGGCAGTGGTCCAGAGGGGGCCTGGACCGGTCTACTCTAGTGACCAACCTAGCAAATAACCTAGCTGTCATCATCATAGAGCCTTTGTCCAGTGACAGATGGAGGCAGATACAGAAATCCATGGCCAGGCACCAGGCTGAGCTCTGGGAATCCAATTGATGAGAGAGAGGAGAGATACTGCAGGCGAGGAACATTGAGATCATGATGGGAGGACGTGCAGAGATGACCAACCACACTAGTGGAAGCCCATGAACTGCAGACTGGTGGCTGTGGAGCCTCCATGGGACTGGACTAGGCCCTCTGGATATGGAAGACGGTTGTTTGGCTCAAACTGTTTGGGGGGCACCCAGGCAGGGGGATCTGTCCCTGGTCTATGGGCAGGCTTCTGGAACCCGGTGCCTGTGGTATGACACCTTGAACAGCCTTGGTGCAGGGGGAAGGGGCTTGGACCTGCCTAGGCTCAGTGTGCTGGGCTCTGCTGACTCCCCATGGGAGACCTCGATTTGGGGGATGTGGGGTGGCTTGGGAAAGAGAAATGGGGGTAGGGAGGAGGGGGGTCTGTGGATAGCATGTGGAGTGAGTAGAAAATTTCTTAATAAAGAAAAATAAAATTAATTAATTAACTGAGTATAGTGGGAGTTCCTGGAATCTGTACTCCTCAGAGCCTGAGGAGAAAGGTTTGGAATTGAATACTGGAGCCCAGAGCATTGAGGCCTGGCTGAGAACACGGTAAGACCCAGTTCAAATGAGGAAAGCACTGTCTCAAAACTCTGGGTTCTTCACTGATACCTATAAGACTTAAGAAAGTATGATACATGGGCAGATGTAAACTCAGAGCTCAGAAATCACAAAATATGAATTTTATATAAATTATATATTACCAATGCAACTGAAAGATGCCATGGGAAAAGATAGCAAGGATCTTCATTTAAACCATACAAATTTCTTGTCAGTTGAAAGAATTGTAAAAACTCACAGTATGTTAATATTTATTTATTATTTTAAAAACAAAGTTACATAGGTAATACAAAAATGCAGGAGATGTCTTCCTGTATGCTATAAATGTGTGTTGCTCTGATTTGGTGGATAAATAAAATGTTGATTGGCCAATAACCAGGCAAGAAGTATAGGTGGGACAAAGAGAGAGAGAATTCTGGGAACAGGAGGGCTGAGTGAGGAGACACTGTCAGCCACCACCATGAGAAGCAAGATGTGAAGGCAGAACCGGGAAAAGGTACCAAGCCACGTGGTTAAACATGAATAAGAATTATGGGTAGGCACCATGTCGGGCTGCATAAGTGGCAAAAAGAAGCCCCTGAAACAGTCCAAGAAGCAGGCCGAGGAGATGGATGAGGAAGGCGAGGCTTTCAAGAGAAACAAAAAGAGAAGAAACTCGAGGAGCTAAAAGCCAAGGCCACAGGCAAGGGACCCCTGGTCACAGGTGAAATTAAGAAATCTGGTAAAAAGTAAGCTGTTCCTCATATCTGAGATGATGGTGACCCTCTTCCATCCCTATTTAAACATCTTTGCCACCTACAGCTAGAATGAAGCGGTACCCTGGAGCCTGTTGTACATTGTAATAAACTTTTGTAAATAATAATAATAATAATAATAAATACAATGACTCATTGTCTCTAGTGTTCAGCATTTCCTACCTCAGCTGTGAATTTAAAGTAAACCCAGTCTGAAATCCTACCAGAGCTGTTTCATCTTTGTTGTACTCTGAATTCTGTATCACTTCAAATTAATTAAACCAACTCACTAAAAGGCTAAAAAAAAGAATTATGGGTTAATTTAAGTGTAAGAGCTAATGAAAATAAGCTTGAGCTAATGGCCATACAGTCTGTGTGTTTACTTGGGTCTGAGAGGCTGCAAGACTGGAGGGTGAGAGAGATTTGTCCTGACCTCTGGCAGGTTGGGACACAGGAAAACTCAGCTACACAAAAATTTATAAAAAGTTTCTCAAATCTATACTTTTAAGAGAACATAGAAATAAACACCCACACTCATATCCATGTGTCTTCTTAAATGACCCCAAAATACATCCAGAAATGGAAAAAAAAAACTTTATTAGAACAATTATAGCTTTTGCTGATTGACTAGCCTTAAGGTCAGGTATACTCCAGAATAATGGAGGTAGAGGGGTTATTTCTAAAATTGAAAATCATTAAGGGAAAACACACACACACACACACACACACACACACACACACACACACACACACACACACAAAAGGATCAGGCTCCAAGTTTAAGCGTATTAAAAGCCAGTCTGTGAGTATCCGTAGTAACAGGACTGGATAACTCTGTGGATGGGAAAGTAAGCAGCACAATTTGATAGAATTATAGCCCACATGAGAGGAAATGAGGATTTAGGTAAAGTATTTTCCCAGCAATGGACATGAACTTATGGGGCAGATCTCTATAAAATTTGTTTGACTGAGTAATATTAATGAGCTCAACAGACATCCATCCAGCAACACAGTGACTTTAAATGCTAGTCTGCCTCATTCAGAAAGGAAATTCTGAGTTGGTGTGTGCGGAAGGGTGCATATGGAATGCAGCAGTGTTCTCTTTAATCCCGAGTTGTGCCCGCAATGTCGTTGACAAGACTTTTCCTGGCAGCTCCACCCCAAGGTCTTGGACATAGGATGAATGAAGGAGTATGGACATGGTGAGAAGGAGGAAATGGAGTGTGGTGATTTAAAAAAGTGGCATTCCTAAAAGTATAGGTTAAACTTGAACTTCAAAGAATACTGTTTTCTTTACATAATACAGTAAAAATCCACCATAATTGCATGAAATTCAAAGGAGCAAAAATATATAAACAGGAAGTTAATGAAGTTTTATGACTGATACCTTCCCTTTCCATGGAAATCTGTCAGCTGGCACCGGCAGACACATTGATCTCGTTCCGTACTCCTGTGAGGTGTTTGTCATTGTTGACCTTTCTTTAGTCCTTCAAATCTTTTCTTCTGGTGGCATCCCTGATTCCAGCATCTCCTACTTCTCTGTCCTCATCCCTTCACTATAAACGGACATGAATGATCTTTGTGGAAGGAAAAGAAAACATTTTAAAACTGATTTGTGGGGGCTGGAGAAATGGCTCGGTGGTAAGAGCACTGGCTGCTCTTCCAGAGGACACAGGTTCAATCCCAGCACTCACAAGGTAGCTCAGTACTCCAGTCTAGGGAACTGGAGTCTGTAACTCCAGTTCTAGGGAATCCAACACCCTTCCTAGCCTCCATGGGCACATGGCACACAGAAATACCTGTAGGCAAAACACACACACACATAAAATTATAAAAATTGATGTTCTTAAACTGATTTATGGGAGTGTGGAGGAAAATATGCTCAACATACAATACATACCCATATGAAACTGTCCTCATGTGTTACCGTGTACAATGAATACAAGGAAAACTGAAAGTAGAACAAAAACTCATCCATGGTGATGATTGCACTATTTTGTAAAATTAGTAAAAATAATTTATTTGTACATTTAAAGTGAATAACTCTAGGGCGTATAAACTATATCAATAAAGCTTTCAAAAATACCTGCCTTCATTTTCCTCCCCTCAATCCCCCAGTTAAGCCAACAACTCAGTTGCTCCCCAGAATCTCTTCTCCAAGTCACCATTCCCCAGTTCTGTGTTCCTTCCCCAACTACGTTCTTTGCCAAAGACAGGCTCTCACCTGCCTGTCAAATTTTTAATTTACATGAAAAGCAAAGTCAGAATTACCTCATCTGGAACAAAATGTAATGTTTCTTTAAGTTCTTGTGTATTTTTTTAAATGTATTTATTATGTATACAGAAGAGGGAACCACTTCTCATTACAGATGGTTGCGAGCCACCACGTGGGTGCTGGGAATTGAACTCAGGACCTCTGGAAGAACAGTCGGGCTCTTAACCTCTGAGTCATCTCTCCAGCCCCATAGTTTCTTGTATATTTTTTAGAGAAGTTTAAATATCTTGGTTTATTACAATTAGGAATAAGAATAGTTAAAGGTTTAATCTTTATAGCAAAAAAACTGAGATTAAAATCCCAGTTCTCAAACTGGATCAGGCCCTCTGAATAGGTGAGACAGTTGATTGGCTTGATCTGTTTGGGAGGCATCTAGGCAGTGGTACCAGGTCCTGTGCTCATTGCATGAGTTGGCTGTTTGAAACTGGGGCTTATGCAGGGACGCTTGACTCAATCTGGGAGGAGGGGACTGGACCTGCCTGGACTGAGTCTACCAGGTCGATCTCAGTCC